TTTATCCCACAGACTGGGCCCTTCAGCAAACTGGAAGTGGCTCAGATGATTAAACTTCCGTAAATTTCTTCCGTAGATTTGGTATCCATTTCCACTCTTATGCCGACGACACTCAACTTTACATTTCAACAAAACCAAACTCCATCTTATCATCCTGAACTCTTACCGGCTGCCTCGGTGAGCTCGATAATTAGTTCTCCAACAGTTTCCTCCAACTAAACCATAACAAAACTGAATTCCTCCTTGTTAGGACAAAAAGCTCCACTTCCAAATCCCATCATCTTCACTTCACTTTTAACAATTCCGTTCTTTCCCCCTCACCTCAGGTCAAGAACCTAGGTGTCATCCTTGACACCACACTCTCTTTCACATCCCACATTAACATCACTCGATCTGCCTATTTTCATCTCTGCAACATTAACCGTCTTCATCCTTCACTCACTGCCTGCTCCCCTGCCATCCTTGTACACAGCCTAGTAACATCCAGGATTGACTACTGCAACTCCCTACTGTTTGGCCTCCCCAATAAATCCCTTCACAAACTACAAATGGTTCAGAACTCAGCAGCCTGTGTAATCACTCAAACCTCATCCTCTGCCCACATCACTCCAGTCCTACAACAGCTCCACTGGCTCCCAGTTAAATCCCGCATCATCTTTAAAATTCTCCTACACACCTTCAAAGCTATCCACAATCTTTCCCCCTCCTTACCTGTCTGACCTCCTGAAAATCTCCACACCCTCCTGCTCTCTAAGATCTGCCTCCTCCCTCCAACTCTCAGTACCTCCTGCCTGCCTCAGCACCATGGGGAGCAGAGCTTTCAGCCGCTCTGCTCCGCAGCTCTGGAACTCACTTCCCCATGGATTACGAAATACCACCTCTCTTTCCCTGTTTAAGACTGGCCTGAAGACACTTCTTTTCAAATTAGCCTACAACCGTTAACTCCGATCTTCAATATTTGTCTGTTTTTGTTGTCCTCACGACGATGTTTCTCCCCCACAAACTTATTGTTAAATTTGTCTGCATTTTTGTATTTTATTAAATGAATGTTCTGTACTCCACATTTCTGTTTCTCCCACACTACCCATATGTATCTACAGATTCATTTTTTTTTATTTTTACTTTTTTCTATTGTACAGCATCCTTGGGTGTCCTGAAAGGCGCTTTATAAATAAAATGCATTATTATTATTATTATTATTATTATTATTATTATTATTATTATTATTATTATTATTATTATTAAACTTCTAACATATTTTCCTGTTCTACACAAGATTTTGCAGTGGATTGAAGGGAAAGAAATAGGTATTTGGGTTGTAAAGGTTAAAATAGCCAATGGTAATGTTTATGAGAAGGGAACAATATAGACATTTTGTAGACAGGTTCTGAATTCATCCATCCATTATCTATTGCCTGCTTCTTCCTTTCAGGGTTATGGGTGCCCATATCCAGCAGTCACAGTGTGAGGGGCTGAGTGCACCCTGGACAGGTCGCAAGTCCATCACAGGGACACATAGAGACAACCAACCATTCACTCTCTAACTAACACCTCGGGAAAATTTAGAGTTACAGTACCAATTAGCCTAACAGTCATTGTTTTGGTCTGTGGTAGAAAACTAGAGAGCCCAGAGAAAACCCACACATGCACAGAAAGAACATGCAAATTCTATCAAGAAAAGTCCCTGGCCAGGATTGGATCCAGCAACCTTCTCACTGAGATGTAACAGCTCTACGAACCGAGCCACTGTGCTGTCCAGGTCCTAAATTCTAGGACAAAATTAGTAAGATCATAATATCCACAGGGGCCATACTGTCCTTTATTGCCCCTTTCATTTGCTCACTGTAGTATCTAGCCCCTCCAGTTTGTCATGTCTTTCCTCAGAGCATGCTCTCCTTCCACCAGACAGCTCACTCTGGAGACTAAGCGAGAGAAAACTGAAAAGAATTGGAAGTGTCGATACAGGCACTCACATAGGGAGGGAAACACAGACTTCTTAACCTTCTATCTCTTGCAGTCTTTATCAGCTTTCCCTCTTAGTGAATGTGGAAAATCCCTTCTTTCAACAGCTTAAGCAGCTTGGGTATAAGAATCTCGAGGTCCACCTACTCTCAGCAAGAAAACAAACCTCTTTCCTCCAATTCCACCTACACACAAACACTTCTTTACATACTCCATACATTCTGCCTAGTTTGTTCAAAAACAGTAGCTTACGCTCCTAAATAGCATGATGCCAGTCAGTGTTTTCTTTATTGTTTGATTCATAGCCAAAATAACTACTTAGTTTTTAGCTAACAAGATGGCAAACAGCTACCAGTGTTTAGCTCCAATGGCCTGAAACAAGTCTAAGGAAGGTGGTGTAATTGTTTAAATTAATTATTTATTTTGTATCTAAGATAGTACAATTTGAATCAATAAATAATGCCTTTGTCTTAGTGCGAGGAGTGATAATGCACTTCAATTGCAAAAATAAAATAGGGAAACACAAACATAGGTTTCCACTCCTGTTAAATGGGGGGCAGCTGCATTAGGATGGTTTATTGAGCAGTTGTGTCTGTAGATCAATTCAGAAATGTTGGTTAGAGACTGCCAACTTGGGTACAATGTGAGCCAAGGTGGATACGATGTGGGTGGAGTTGGACAAAAATTAATGTGCATGGCCAAGAACACAGTTGTGATTTCCAAATACCAACTGAGCAAAAAACACAGCCTCACAGCTTGATGATTGCTTGATCGTAAACACCCCAAATTCAATAAGACTGCGATGGGAAATGTATATTTTTTCACAATTTTTCGACAACAGTCACAGCCCAATATGATACTATCCAAGACATTTAGGAGACAAAGTAAAAATCTTGATTTGAGGGAACCGGGTATTCATAAAGCCATAAAAAATAAAACATTAGTTGCTTCATGATGCTTTTTATTGTCATCGTCCTGATGCTCAGCTATCAGCTATGTGGGCCGCAATGACCTTTATTTTTTTCACTGAAAAAACATTTACCGGTAAGCAAAATTTGGACTACATTTGGCCTGCAAGTGATAACTTTCTAGATGTCTTACATACTATATGTGTTTCACCTATGCCGCTGTACAGAACAGCAGCACTAAATAATAGGCAATATAAGACATCTATGTATTTTGGTCACAATTAGTAATTAATATTATAAAATCCCAGTTTTGGTTTCTACTGTTTATAACTAATCAAGTCTTGAATGGACTTAAATTTTATACATAAGTGTGTTTAGAGATGCAGAGAGAGATGAAGGGACTAGGGCTCACATGGAGTGACCTAGTACATTGGGCCCAAAACAGGATGCATTGGAAAAAACTCATAGATGACCTATGCCCCACAGGGAGCTGGGCATAGATAATGTGTTTAGACATTTACAGCTATTGTGAAATTATCAAAATGTGTTGTTGTTATTTTATTATAAAAATGTGTTCTTTATCTTTTGCTGATGAAATTGTATTTTCATTAAGACTTAAAATATGTTTGGTTAAGAACTTCACTAGACACACATACCAACATAATACTGTATTACGAGCAGATATCTTACATCAGGTATTCCCCATAGAACAAAATCCACAAAATGTGTAAAGTGCCTTGAAAATGCATCCAGCCTCCATAAACATGTAAATATTTTGTCACATTACGACCACAAATTCCAAAATGTTGGGATATTTACATGATAGATCGAGTCAAAGTAGTGTACAATTGTGAACTAGAGGGTAAATGAGACATGATTTTCAAAATATTTTACATGTAAAAAAACTGAAAAGTGTGGCATGGATTTGTGTTACAGCAGCTTTGTTCATCTAGAAACTGAAAAATGTCCACTCTTATTTGTGTAACAGCTAAAGCGCAGTCGTATTGGATGGAAAGCAACTGAACAACAACTTTTAAGTCTTACCCTTATTAGGGGACGAACAACCCCCTCCCCCCAGCCTTCTGATCCCTGGGCTGTTGGCTTTGAGTAACTGTGGCCCCCTGAACAATTCAATTAAGTTGAATTGCCCTGGTCTAAACTGTTCAGTTTAGGTCTAATCTGGGCAGACCAGCTTCCCTACATGGCTTGTGGCAAACTGAAAATTAGAGTTTTTATGGCTTTCTTCTTGCCACTCTTAGATAACGACCAGATTTGTGGCGTGTACAACTAATAGTTGCCCTGTGGACAGATTGGTCCACCTGAGCTGTGGATTTTTTCAATGCCTCCAGAGGGCTTCTTGGTTGTTTCTTGGACTAATGCTTTCCTTGCCCAGCATGTCAGTTTAGGGGGACCTATAATGATGATGGCCATGTCTTGATAGATTTGAACTTGAGCCATACTCTTTCAATTTCTAAAAGATAGATTAAACATAGCTAACTGTGGTGTTCAACACATGGGATGTTGTTTTATAACCTTATGCTTCCTAAGGTCTCTACTGATCAAACTGTGTCAAAGGACACACCAGACAGGTCAGAGATAATGTTGTTGAGGTCTGTCACAAATCTCTGAGGCCTTCAGAGTATAGATGGACTCAATTTAGTAATTAGGTAAAAAAAAAAAGTTAAAAAGTGCTTTGTTGCTGTGAAATTTAGTTTGAGATATCAGAAGAAAGGGGCTGTATACACATACACAACACACTTTTTCAGATTTTTATTTAAATAAATGTTGAAAACCTTGTAGAATTCTCCACTTCACAATTATGTCTTGCTATGTGTTAGTCTGCCCCACGAAAAATACTTTGTTTGTGGTTGTAATGGAACAAAGTGTGGAAAAATTCAGAGTCTTGAGACTTTTTAAAGGCACTGATTATTGACATTGCATTATTTGCAAACAGAGATACATGATCAGTTACCATTGCTCTGCCAACCTAATCCACTCCTTGCATTTGTGCCTGCCTAAATGATCCAGGCAGCAGATGCATTGGACTGCCCTGGCCTGGCCCTTGTGCTGCACCCTTTGCAACGTTATCCTGTACCAAGCCTCATTCCACACTCTGCTCCTCTCGTTCAGGATCTGAGCTCATGCCAAAAGCCCTTTCCACCAGAATTGTGGGAGGAATCTGGTGGTTTTTCACTCTCATCATCATCTCCTCCTACACGGCAAACCTGGCTGCTTTTCTCACTGTGGAAAGGATGGAGTCACCCATCGACTCTGCAGATGATCTGGCCAAGCAGACAAAGATTGAGTATGGAGTGGTAGAAGATGGCTCCACCATGACATTTTTCAAGGTAAGTTCAGGCACTAACTTTAAAAAGGTTTAAAAGTTAACATTATAAATGATACTGTGTGAAACATGTAAAAGCTGCATTGTGCTTACATTTTCTTTTATTAGATATACAGCCTGTTTTTGTTGTTGTATCTTTTATGATTACAAAAATCCAAAACAGCTTATCTCTGCAGTGGAGAATCACCTTGTATACAGTATATGCAGAAAAAATGTGAAACTTAACTTTTTTTTCTTTTTTCACAAAACTTTGCCGTTTTGAAATGCTGTATTTGATTTAGAAGTATTTTTAGCACCTGTGACTTTATCCCTTTCTTTTTATGGTTATTTCATGGACAAATTTTTTTTTCTACATGGGCAGTTCCACTTCACTTCAAGCTCAGGTCATCGACCAGAGGGTTCTGAACAGTATTTTGGCTCTTCCTAGAAGTGTGCTGTTCTGGGTAGAGATTTCAGACGTTGTTCTTGGGATTTTTTGGAGCCACAGTTTTAATTTGATGGTCACAACCTGAGTGCTTTGATGACCTGACATCCCTGAGACCTTAACTCTTCACAGCTTCATTTCCTCTTTCAGCTCTTGGTATTTCTCCAGTACCGCATGTTTGTTTTTCTTGACAGAGTTTTAAAGTAACTAAGTACAAATACTTCGTTACTGTACTTAAGTAGAATTTTTAGATATCTGTACTTTACTTGAGTCATTTATTTTCAGCCTACTTTTTACTTCTACTTCTTACATTTTTACCCAGTTATCTGTACTTTCTACTCATTACATTTTTTTTAAAAGGGAAGAAGTAGATAGTCGTTACTTTTATTTCATTTTTGCTTGTTTTCACTCCAGCTTGTTATTATAAAAAATGAATACTATCCATATGAATTGTGCCTCTTAGATAGAGTGAATTTAATTGTGGTTGAATGAGAAATGTACTGTATATATATTATTTTAGTTTGTTTTCATTCCAGCTTGTTATTGT